CCCCCCCGTCCATTAATTCGGCCTGACAGCTTCGCCCCCCTTCCCCTCCCCTCCCCGTGAATGCCGTTTTTCAGAAGGGTATGTTTTAATTTGTCACATCAAGGCAATAAAAGGCAGCAATATATACTTAAGCAGTTAACGTCGTAATAACAGGTTTAAAAGGAGCAATTAAAAGGCCGCGAGTCGCCCGTCTGCTCCCCCCCGCCCCGCCTTTCCGCGGGCCGCCTCCGGCGTTACCCGCTTTGTCTCGCTTAGCTCCAAGCCGGGGAGTCGGAAGGCGCTTTGTGGGGCGCAAATCGATCCGACTGGGGTGGGGAAAGTCCGGGGAAACCGATTCCAAGTCCCCAAATCCAAGATCCATAGAGCGCTGTAGTACTTTTAGGGATCGCTCGCTTTGCAAATTCGGGATGGCTGCAACGCCGCAGAAGCCTGCTCTGCGCTGAAACCGGCGTTAACGCCTCCCTTGCAGAGTGACTCCACTCTAAACCCAGTGTGATTCCTCTCCTACTGAAAGGGGTGTGTTTAAATCGGAGTCACTCTGCAATAGAATAGGATCTGAGTGTAGAAATAGACAGCACTATGTCTATTTCTGGAGAAACCAAACCTGCACCCACAAGTCACTGACGACTGCGCCCATAGTAGCGAACCATTCGCAAGGCGATTATCCTGGGTAGACAAGCAAACTCCTCGTCCAGGAGGGTCGCTGTAGCACAGGGACCGCTATCCTAACATGCGCGGAGGCAGCCCAAGCTCTGGTGCGCGTGAGAAATGGAGCCCTTCCTGCTGCGCTCGCCGGCCAGGTGAGGGGTTAGAGCCCCCCAAGTGCAAACGAAATCATAGGGCAGTGGACACCATCTGCGGGAGCCGGCGAAGAGTCACCGCTCATTTGCAAACGCCCGGCAGGGGGGGAGAGGTTTTTGAGCCCCCGCGTCATCATTCGTTCCAAAGAGGCTCCCGTGAGACAACCCCTCCCCCAGGGTTGGGCTCCGAAATCGGCACATTTCAAAGTCGTCCCCCCCCCCTTCCTACAGTCTTTGCTACGACGATCCCTCAATGTAGGCCCAGCTATTGGTTGCCTACGGACAGGAGCGGAGGGCTCTCGGGACTGAAGCGGGCCTTCTCTGGGATTGCCGGCTCCCCCCGACGTCGCGCACATGACGTTCCACCGCCACACACACGCGCACATGTCCGACTTTCCGCGCCAATTGCGAGCGATTCAGCTCGGGCGACCAGGACAACAAAGGACACTTCTTGTCAAACGATGAGCTCAGGAACAGCCGACCCAGGGGGCAGTAAGATGCCAGCTAGATCCCCGGCCCGCTTTTTGCACCCTGGAGTCCGGCCGGAAGAGCTCGGAACCGCCCTTTAGCTTCTCGCTTCCTTGGCTGCTGTCAAAACGACCCAAATCCCCCACAGTTCGTTGAAGCAAACGGATGTCCACTGGCGACGGGAAAGTGACTGTTAACCCTGCTGGGAGCACCAGGCGCCCAGAGGCACGCTTCGCAGTTCCTTTGCTTTCAGTGGGCGGCGAAAGCGAGCGAAGCGCCAAAGTGGTCGGTTGAGATCAAGGGGTGGGTCACCTTGGTCGGATAGTCCACCCCCCCGGTGCCAACAACTGGAAGAAAAGAAAATGTCCTGACCCTTCAGTAAAAAACTGAAGACGTGGGAACGGGTAAGTGAAACTTCCCACGGCAACGGAAGTCAATAACACCGCCTGGTAAAGAGCGTCCTACTGAGCCGGGACTAAGCGGGGCGGGGCATTTTCTCCCTTCCAGGTCGCTGGCGACCCTTATCCAGTGTTCCCTCTAAGCTGAGTTAGTGTGAACCAGCTCACAGCTTTTTAGCCTCCGGCTCACACATTGTTGTCTTAGCTCAGGAAGGAGGGCTCCAGAGTAAACTAATTATTGCAGCGTCCAAATCGCTTGCTCACAACTTTAATGCCAGGAGCTCACAAAGGAGAATTTTTGCTCACAGGACTCCACAGCTTAGAGGGAGCATTCCCCTTATCCCGTCCCATTTTCTTCCAAATATTATATATTCATTTATTCACCACATTCCTATACCGCCTTCCTGCCCTAGGAGGACCGCCGAGGCGGAGAAGGGAGCCAAACTCCCTTAACAACTGCGCAGAAGGGGGAGCACGGCTTTCCTCGGCAGTCGCCTGGGCGCCAGTGTCGGTTTCACCGGGCTGCGGACGGAGACGCGCCGTCTGGAAGAGCATCCGGGCTTCGCGCGGTACCTGTCAAGGTGAGGATGAGCGCACGCGGTCGGGTGGATCTGTCCTTTCGGGCTTGGACGGCGGGAGTGACGCTCAAATAGCCCTGGCAACGGCTCCCGGGTGAGGAGGCCTGGAGGCCGCCTGCGCCGCCGGGTCTCTCCCCCTCCCCAGGCTGCAGCTTACATTTCAATCATGCGCTGCTGCAGAAGACGGCAAGGAGAGGCGAGGGGAAGAGAAAGAGAAAGAGAAAGGGGAAGGGGAAGGGGAAGGGGAAGGGGAAGGAGGAGAGGAGAGGAGAGGAGAGGAGAGGAGAGAAGGCCTTTCCGGGCAGCCACTCTTGGTGACGCGAAGCCCCGCAGCCCCAGCGGGAAGGCGCAGCGGAGTCGGGGAAGGGGAGACCCTTCCCTTCCCTCCCGTCCCCGGCGTGGGAATGTTGGGCGAGAACACCCACGGGCAATGTTCCCTCTAAGCTGTGGAGTCTGACGAGCAAAAATCCTGCTTTGTGAGCTCCTGTCATTAAAGTGGTGAGCGAGCCTTCTGGCTACTGCATAAATCAGTTGGCTCTGGAGCCCGCCTTCCTGAGCTAAGAGAAAAATATGTGAGCCAGAGGCTAAAAAACTGGGAGCTGGCTCACACTAACTCAGCTGAGAGGGAACACTGCCCACGGGCTGTCCAAGCCTCTTCCAAGGGGATCGCCTTCACCGACTCCGGCTCTTCACGCCCGCCCCTCCCCTGCGGGCCTTGGCGCAGCCGCCGGGTGGGAGCCTGGCAGAAGCGAATAATCTCGGTGGGGGTGGCCAGCCGGCCTTCCTCCTTTGCTGACACGGAAGTTTACACGGTCCGGGCAGGGCTTTACAATGCTTAAAAGGCGAACGGAGTCAGTTCTCGGGGGAGGGGAGACACGACCGTCCCAGTTTTCCTGTCCCGTTGACGTCAGAAGGACTTGTGCCTCGCTTTCCCTGGGAAGATAAACCGAGGTCTGGACCCTCCCGCTTCAGACTGGAGACAGAGTTACTGTATGCTTCTGCATCCCCCTTCAAATCCCTGCACAGAGATGCCGCCTGAAGCATTCCAGTGAGGCCTCTTCGGGGACTTAACAGCGCTAGATGCGTGGGGATCTGGATTATTTTTTTTAAACAAGAGGGAAGTTTATGAGCTCCCACTATTCTGAAGTGGTACACCCAACTCTGTGGCCAGGTGTTGGGTGTTACAAATCAAAACAGCAGAAACAAGAAGGGAAAAAAACTGAACCTAACAATAAACTCCAGAACCAAAGAAAGGTTAGTGAAAAGGAGGGCCAATATTAACACCTTTCCATAAAAAAAGGTACATGTATTTATTGATAATAACAAATTTAAAAACATATATAGGGGCCCAATTACAAACAATGTATATAAAACATAACAATATCAAGGGCTTAAAAAGTTGACCTTATGCGTTTCAGCCAAATAGGCCTTCCTCAGAGGTCATACATATGTGGCAAGATGATTAATAATTATATTCACATAAACACAATCAGAAATATATACAAAGTATAGATTCAATAAGGACCATAAAGTAAATTGTTCAGAAGTAAAATCACCAGGCACAGGATAAATATGCACATAAGACCTTTAAAGTGCAATCACTAGCCCAGTGATTATAAAATAAACTTATGGTCCAAACATTTCCTTCTTTGATTGTGTTCCCACAGTATTCACAACTGCTTTTTACTTGTGAATTGTGATTGTGTTTATGTGAATATAATTATTAACCATCTTGCCACATATGCATGACCTCTGAGGAAGGCCTATTTGGCCGAAACGCGTAAGGTCAACTTTTTAAGCCCTTGATATTGTTATGTTTTATATACAAATCAAAACACTTCAGTATTTAAAGGGTTAATGATGTTTGTTATGATCAACAGGAAGTCACATGTTCGTTTGTACCCAATCTGTTTAGACAATAGAATGCCCGGGAACTTTGGAGCTAACTTGCTAGTCTGATTGGAAACCAATGTGTCAAGTATTTAGCACATTGGCTTCTCTTTCCTCTCTTTGTTCTGACTGAGAAGGAGACGCCATTCTCTTCCCGTTTTACCTTTTAGCTGTAAGGATGTAGCCATATTAGCTCTTTGTTATTTTACATCCTGTGTACCTTTTTCCCATGTTAGGTTTATAGTAAACTTTTATATTTTAAAACACACCATGGACTCAGTCTCTTAATACTCTGCTGACTTACTTAAAAAGAATCCCAACAAAGGTTATGGGCGCCCAGCTCATTCCTTTCTGCACAAAGCTGACAATGCATGTGTGTATGAGTTTACTTAGAAACTTTTAAGAATAGCACAGATTTATTTTTTTTGGAAACATTTTCTGGATTAAGTGGGAGCAGAGAAAAGTTTGTTCCTCTTTCTAGAGATTTTCTAGCCTTGTTGCAGGCTGGACAGAAGGGGAGAGAAGATTTGTTTTCTGCTGCTCTATGCGAAGGATCCCTGGGGCTGAATCATGCTGCTGGAAGAGGGAGATCAAAGGAAGTTCGTTTAACTCCACGCTGACCAGACGCCTGTTCACTGCTTTGCCTCTGTCAAAAAGATCCGTAAAGTAAAATATGGCTGTTTCAAAGAATCTTTCTTTCTTCAATATTCCACCTTTATCTAGAACAAATTACAACTGGTGGAAGGGATCAATTGAGTGTGCTCTAGAATCTCAATCTGCTCTGCATGTACTCACTAGTGATGCTCCTGCAGATGATCCACAAAAGGAAAAATTAAAAGAGAAAGATGGTTTTGCAAAATCTTTAATCCTTGGGAGTGTCATTGCAAGTGATAATCAAAAGCTTTTAACATGAAAATCTGCAAAAGAAATGATAAACCAACTAGATGAAAAATACAATGGGAAAACGAGAGCTAACTATTTCTTTCTCTTTCAGCGTCTGATTAATGCAAAGATGAGAGATGGAGACTCAATAAGTGCACATTTGAACAACATTATGGATACTTTCAATGACCTAAAGGCAATAGGAAGCACACCAACTGATGATACTGTTATTGCTGTAATTTTGGGCTCTTTAACAAAAGACTAGGCTCATGAAGTTGCGTTTTTGAAGGGAGTAGAGAAATTAACCATTGATTATGCAATTTCTTATTTGGAAGCTGAGGGGAATAGAAGAGAAATGTCCCAGCTCCCTGATAGCATGTCAGTTCTTAGAGTGAAGCCTGCTTATGAAAGAGGAAATGTAAAGAAATAAGTTAAATGTTTTATATGTGCAAAATCTGGTCATCTCGACAAACAATGCCAGTTTAAACCTGCGCAAGATGAAAGAGACTGCACCACGCAGACTCCCACTGAAATAGGAGCCTCTAGGGGGCGTGGGAGTGGAAGGCCAAATGCTACCAGCAAGCAGACTAGGAAAAGGCCTATATTCTTTCTTAATAAAACACAGCCAGATGCTGTAGATGTAAACCAGAGTGGAAATGTGCATGCATTGTCTATTAATGGCAGAGAATCTGATGCTAAAGCTCTATGGGTTTTGGATTCGGGAAGTTATTTACATATTGCAAACTCTGTTGAATGGTTTGTTGATTTGGATAGAGAGAAAAAGCCTAATTTGCAACAAGTTAATGGTCAAGAATTAGCTGTGGAAGGAACTGGAACTGTTGTGCTGAACATTTTGAATACATGTGGTGAAATTGAGGAAGTTATACTCAAAGATTGCATTTTTTGTTCCTGAGGCCACTATCTGCCTCATATCCACTATGAGGATCATAGCAACTGGTTTTAAAATTAATCTTGATCAGGGCCAAGGCAAAATTTGGCATAAAGATGGTGTTGAGCTAATGATTGAAGAACATGGAAATTTTCATCATCTAAGAAACATTGCTGTTACTAGTGATGATGAAATGGACACTAATGGGCCATAAAATCATCTGCATGTGATCACAAGGACTGTTTCTATGCATGGCATGTAAAGTTTGCTCATAGGAATGTGCAAAGTGTACAAAAGCTGTTGAAGGACTGTAATATCAATGCTGTTGATTGTGATGCTATGAAAAATGGTTGTGAAA